ATTTAGCCCAAGTGTTTGCTGGGATCTTAAACACCCAAGCATGAGCCTCTGCATTGATCTTCTTCAACTCATCCATTGCTCTGTTAAAATGATTGACTGTTGTTGCTCTACCACACTCCCAAAGCTGGTCACTTAAGTCTTTTCCTTTCCATTGCTTCTTCATGTTTTCCTGGATATGCCTCAAACAGAACCTGTGTTCTGCACTAGGGAATACTTTCTCCATTGCTGGTATTATTCCCTAAACAAAAGTCAATGTAATCAACATTAGTTAACCAAATGTATTTAGTAAAGGTAATAAAAAAGTTAGGTGGTACACACCTTTTGTCTATCTGAAATGAAGGTAAAGTTTGAATTTGGTCCCAGATCCAGATCTTCTCCTAACAGTTCCAAGAACCAGGTCCAGCTACTTGTTGATTCTGTCTCTACCACTGCATATGCTACAGGGTATATGCCATTGTTTGAGTCCAACCCTACAGCAGTTAACACTTGCCCAGGGTAAGGGCCCTTCATGAAAGTACCATCCAGACCTAGAAAATCTCTTAATCCAGATTTGAATCCTAACTTCAATGCACCTAAACAGACATATATTCTTCTAAAAGTTCTTGTGGTAACAGACAGGGAGGTTTCTGGATACACATCAATCCTAACTGTTGTACCAGGATTAGTGTTGAGTAGCTCCAACACATAATCCCTCAAAAATCCATACTGTACTTGGTAGTCCCCACTAATGATACGCTCAGCCATTGACTTTGCCCTAGTGACCTTTTGCAATGACATTCCTACCTCCAGTTTCTTGCACAACTCTTCGTGTAAAGCTTTCACTGGAATTTTAGGGTTACTCTGTATTTGTTGAACAATTAAGTTTGCTACGTATCTGGAAGTGCAAGCTTTAACCGCCCTTGTTTGCAAACATTTATGCTCATCCTGTACTGTTTTCACCAACCAATCCTGATTTTCATTAGCCCTCGATATTTGGACTGCCCATGGACATGTACCTTTATTGGCAATTACATCTTTACCCTTGCACTTTGCCCTACTTCTGGTTGAGGGCCCACCACTATCAACTCCTGTAGAAGGCTTACTTACAACACCTTTACATTTCACCCTAATCCGGATTTTGTCATTTTTGGCTAGGTATAAAGACCTCCTTGTTGCTACAGCATGTGAGTTCATGTAGTTTTTAACATCAACCTTGGTTTTGAAGACCTGACCAATCTGAAATGGTTTAACATGAACCTCTCCATGTGAGCATGTACTTGACTTACTCAACTCTTTTAGCAGTCTCTTCCTATCATCTTCATGAAATCCTGCAAATTGATAATCATCAGTGGCAATAACTTCCAACTCATTATCAAAGTCAACCACTCCAATCCCATCATCTTTTGAATGATTGTTCAAGATTCCATGTTCATCTACATCAACAGCATTATGGAATTCACTCATGTCTACATCTACATCAAATTGTATGTTAGACTCATCCACATTGTATTCACTGTCATCAGAATCATCTCCACTATCCTCAGAACCATGGCCACTCTCAGAGTAGAAAGCATCTCCACTATCATCACTCACCATACCCTCTAGATAATCCACTTCTGGTTGTTTTTCAAATGAAGTTTGAACATTAAACTCAGCATCATAATCAGCATAAAGTGAGTAATCCTCTACAAATGGTTCATAGTCATCAACTGTTGTAGTATTAGCTCCATTATCAGCTTGGCAGCTTGGTTCCTGTACATGGTAAGTTCCCAATTGTTCTTCAGTTTCAACTGCACTAGTGATCACTTCTTCTTGAGTTTCAATTTCATGATTCACCACTTCCTTTTGAATGACATGACTTTGTTTACCTTGTGACCTTATAAATGGTACAATACTCTTTGAGTAATCATGGCCTTCATCAACATCTAACACTTGTGACTGCTCATAATCAGGGTTCATAGACTTGTTTAGATCAAGCTTTCTACTACATGAGCCTGCTTCTCTCCTACAAGGTTTCTTTCTATTCATTTCAGGTGACACACTATCAGGCTCCAACTCTTCAATAACAACTTTAGAAGGAGACTTGTAATAACTACCTACCCTTGTCTGACCAGTTTCAATATACACCCTAATAAGTCTGTGTTTAGGGACATATGATACCATTTTAAGTACATCTTGATCATTACCTAAAGGCATTAAGCCATAGTCCAAAGGGTATTCAGGGATACAGAAATGGTAGTAAAGGGTTTGCTCAGTTTTGTACCCTAGTTCTCGAACCATGTCGTCAAGCTCATGAACTGAAAATAAATCAGTGTCAACATAATCTACATATGCTACAACACCATCAACGTATTTCCTTCCAGGTGCTTTGGTGAAGACACCACTGTAGTGTATCTTCAACGTGAAATAGTTCTCATAACCTTCTGTAAACACAAAAAAAAGAAAGAGTAAAATCAATGATTTCCTTACGTCAACACAATAGACCAAGAAAAAACAAGTTTTGTTGTAGTATTGTACCGTATGTTTTTCCTAAGTCCTCCACGGTTACAAATTTTTCTCGAAAACACCATATTGATAGCACCATTGCAATTTCTGCAGCTTAAAACCCTAAATCCCAATTTCTGTTCTTGCTTCTACGATGGGAATGAACCCGATGACTAAACCTGTAACTGGTTATCTTCTTGGGAGAGGGACGGGTAGTGATGTGCAAGCAAGTAATCATTTCATATTAAAGAGAGGAGGTTACAACTGAAATGACGAAATTACCCCTGCAATATTTTATTAAAAAATGAGTTAACGGTGAAATGCTAACGGAGTGAGCCGGAGGGACCATTTGTTAAAAGTTTTGAAACCACAGGGACCATCTGTGAGGTTTTTTGAACTTAGGGACTAAACTTGATATTTCTGGAAACCACAGGGACCATTTTTGAAGTTTTGTCTAAAACTAATTTGAAAAGATTGAAATTATTAAAATGGTTATAAAACATGACTTTTTGGATAAATACAAAATTCTAAGTTTAGCGTGGTTATAAAAGGTGACTTTTTTACATGAACACAAAATTCTTAACTATCATAATATGTTTTATGTTTACTTAAACTAGCAACCTACTTTAATTTCTTCAAATGCTATAAACGGATAATCCTATAACAATCACCGACTTTTAAATCCTGATTGGACGCCGTCCATTGGCGACTTATGATGTCCATTGGCGACTTATGATGTGGCGTATGTTTTAACACGTAAGCATAGTAACCGATAGAAAATAGAGAAAAATACAAAACTAATCATTTTTCCTAATTACTTATCCAAAAATAGCAAAAAAAGAAAAAAAAAACTCACTTAGCCAAAAATAGCCCACAAAAGAATAGTCAACTTTAGGTTGACTACAGAGGATGACTATTCTTTTGCCCTAATGGGCTACTGTTTCAAGGGATCGTTTACTTTTTCGTGGCCTATTAATCCAAAGTATATAATGATTTTTTTTCTTTTTAAATTAGGTCATTTTCATATTGTTTTTTTTTTTGTTTGGCTACATTTTTCTTTCAATGAAGCATCCGAAGAACAACCACGTTTATCAATTCTTTTTAAAATTTTTACCATGTCTGTGATTAGGTCATTAGGAGTAGGTTGTGTTTATGGGGATAATTTTTTTTTTGAAAAAAAAATATAAAACCGTAGGTTTCATATGAAACCTACGGTGTACAAGTGCCCAATGCACTGTTTGTGCAGTGTCGACTTGTACAACGTAGGTTTCATATGAAACCGTACGGATGTTTTTTTTTTTTTTTTTTTTAAAAAAAAATGTATCAATAGAATAGGAATTGGATGTATTTTTTTGTGGTATAATTTTTTTATCAAAAAAAAGGGGAAACCGTAGGTTTCACAACAAAACCATTTTTTTTTTAAAATTTAATAGCCAATAAACATTTGTATCCCCTTGTGTGTATCTTATAATTTTTGTTTGGAAAAAAATCATAAGTTTCCTAAAATGTATGGTTATATATATATATATATATATATATATATATATATATATATATATATATATATATATATATAGGGAAAGGATCAAATGAGTACACCTAAAAGGTTGAGAACGCGAGAACAAGTATATTCATTTATGATTCCATGTATTTATTTGTGGCAAAATGATAAATTTTTATGCACAATCAATATGAATATGCTTTTTCTTTTCAATTGAATTGAAGCCGTAAAAATTTATCATTCCTCCTCCACAAATGAATACATGGAATCACAAAAGAATATACTTTGTTCTCGCTTTCTCAACCTTTTTGGTGTTCTCATTTGATCCTACTCCTACATATATATATATATATATATATATATATATATATATATATATATATATATATATATATATATTCAATTTTCTTAAAAAAAAATTATTTAAATGTATTTGTAACGATTGTATCCCCTTATATGTATCGTATGATTCAATGTTTTGCATGTTGTTAAAAATGATGTTATTTTCTATGTCTCAATTATAGCATACAATAGCAATGTACTATCTATGTCTCAATTATAGCATACTGTATTGATAAAATAACATTGTGTTTTGATAGTTTTGGGTTTATTATAAAATATGTTATTGTCACTTATACAAGTAGAATAGAAAAGACAAAAATTTGTGTGAAATAATTTACTTTGGTATTTTATAGAAAGTAAATAAATTATATGAAATGTTTAACTGTTTTATTGTGTGATACTCCAACACTGTTTATATATATATATATATATATATATATATATATATATATATATATATATATATATATATATATAACCTTATTTAACTTTATTTTTTATTTATTTTGTAGCTTCCTAAAAAAAGATGACATGCAAAATATATGTGAAAGCTTCATGTCACAAGTTGCATGAAGTTTTGAATCTGTTGAATGGGCCGGTTCGAGAGATATTTTCAAGGACTAGCTTTGGTTATCTCTTGGATCTACTAACTCAGTCCGAAGACAGACTACTTATTCATGACCTATTACTTCACATGTTGCGTCCTACCCCTGAAAGTGATGCTGCTGAGCATCTACATTTCATGTTTTCTAGACGTTATTTATCATTTGGGCCGGAAGAGTTTTGTATTGTCTCGGGACTTTACATGGGCCATTTTCCTATTTCAAGGATCGAATTTTCAACCATTTATAATCACAGATACGGTGATAATACATTTCGGTCCAAAGTCTTCCCGTGTCGCACGGCCACTACGTTACTTGTAAAACATTTAGAGCTACTTATCTTGAACCGACGGTTCAATGAGATATCGACTGACGATGTTGTCCGTGCGATTTTGCTATATATCCTCAATCAAGGTTTTTTGGAAAAAGAACCCAAAGACAAAGTCACGAAGAAAATTTTGTGGGTGGTGGAGAACCTGGATAAATGGAACATGTATTTATCAATTTAATCTTATAAAAAAAATACTATTTTTTATACGTTTAACTAATAGTTTTGCACATAATATAGGTTCTCGTGGGGGAGTTACCTATGGAGTAAAACATACCCTAGATTGTCGGGTATGTTTAAGAAATTTGAGGATCATATGTCCAAACATCCAACAAAACCTTGCGTGTATACACTATCCAATTTTGTTATTCCGTTGAAGGTAATAATATAATTTTAAATTTTTTTGTTTTTATTTTTTCATAATCCCTGTTAGTTATTGCTAACTCTTATATATTAATGTATATTTATATTTATTACATGATATGGATATGAGAGATGTTCCCACTAGCTCGGGGGAATGCTGCGTTACGACGAAACAATTTATATCCTCGTATGTTGCGGTGGTTTCACCTTAGGAGGTTAGCATGGGAGAATGTTTGCAATCTTTTCGACGTTGACCAGGACGAGGCACATCAACCGAAAAGAAAGATGATTGCCTCTGAGGTCGAGTCATCTACTCCACATTACTTGACATATATTACTAGTCTGAATCCAGAAGTTTGTACGCTACAACTTTAGAAAATATGTAAGTAAAATACTAAAAGTAGTATCTACTATATTAAAAATTTTCAACTATTGTTGATATATAAAAAAATTTATATAGGGAGCATCTTCATCTGATCCATCATGTGGAAACAGCCGATCTACCCAGTCCACCGGAGAAACTCATACGGTGGGAATTAATAGGAGAACAGCCCGAGAAATAATGGCAAGACTTCAAACTCATACGGTGGGAATTAATAGGAGAACAGCCCGAGAAATAATGGCAAGACTTCAAACTCATACGGTGGGAATTAATAGGAGAACAGCCCGAGAAATAATGGCAAGACTTCAAAGCTTGGAGGAAGAAATCCGAGGAATAAAATGTAAAGAGCGATTTGAAAACTGGGATGACAATAATGAATTTTTTGACGCAACGTTTGGGGTAAAATATTTCATTTTATAAATTTACTATTAATTCTTAACGAAGGTTTCGAGGTAAAATAATTATTTGTTAAATTATTTTTCCTTTAAATGTTGGGGAATGAAGATGTGGGAGGTAGTTATTGGATGACAAGCCTGGTGAACGAACAATTCGGTAGTCCACCGAATTCAAATCGAGTAAACGAGGATAATGATGTTGGTCGTAGAAAACAAAAACAACACGTGAAGGAGGTTATAATTTTTTTTGTATATTACTTTTTATATTTTTTCAAAGTATATTAAATAAATTAATATGTATTTTGTAGAAGAAGAAAAAGAAGATTGTTGCCAACAACATCGTGGATGCGGAAAATCATATACCCATGCCTCCTGTTGCAAAACCACGTTGTCCGGTTAGGGTATTGAAAAGGGATGACAATAATGAATTTTTTGACGCAACGTTTAGGGTAAAATATTTCATTTTATAAATTTACTATCAATTCTTAACGAAGGTTTCAAGGTAAAACAATTATTTGTTAACTTATTTTTCTTTTGAATGTAGGGGAATGAAGATGTGGGAGGTAGTTATCGGATGACAAACCCGGTGAACAAACAATTCGGTAGTCCATCGAATTCAAATCGAGTAAACAAGGATGATGATGTTGGTTGTAGAAAACAAAAACAACCCGTGAAGGAGGTTATAATTTCTTTTTTGTATATTAATTTTTATATTTTTTTCAAAGTATATTAAATAAATTAATATGTATTTTGTAGAAGAAGAAAAAGAAGATTGTTGCCAACATCGTGGATGCGGAAAATCATATACTCGTGCCTCCTGTTGCAAAACTAGGTCGTCCGGTTAGGGTATTGAAACCTTCTCAATATCTTTGCTCTCCATATGTTTCTGTAAGTTTGTTTAAAATAATATTTACTATAAATTTTTTTTTAAAATATATGGATACTTATTGACTACGTGTATACTGTATGTTCAAAATGCTCCCCGATATCGTCCGGTGGGGTAATACGCAATGAACCACCACCCCCCGTTTCTTTTATCGATATTCGTAAGCACTTCACGAACATCAATGCTTAGTCTAGAAAAATTTGTGCAAAATTTGACAACGTGTAGGATTTTAATGTTATCCAGAACAAAGTTTCCAATGATTTTTCAGAGCCTACTCTTGTGCGTAAATAGTTTTGCACGCTCTTACAAGTGTAACCACGATAAGAATCACTGAAAACATTATCTACGCAAGAGCTAACGCCATTGTACATATTGGATATGAACGCTATTTCCCTACCCTCTCCGAGACATTCTTTTAACCTCATCAGGAACTAGGTAGAATTTACCACATTATTTTCAACCGCCATACCAAACGCTATAGGGAAAGTCAGATTGTTCCCATCTTTAGCAATAGCTACAAACATTGTTTTTAGGTAGTCCCCTCTAAGAGGGACGGTACCTATGTAGAGGACATGTAAGAAATAATGCACGAAGGGATGGACCTGTAATTTTTATTAGTGCACACCAATTACTTTAAATGTACAATCATTATCAAATGTAAAAACACAAAACGGATTTGGAAAATAATTATACCACCCATCCAATAGCCACAAAATAAGATTGGAGACGATCCATCAAATTCGTTTTGATGTGAGTGTGAGTATGCAGGTTGGTTCGCCTTAGGTTATGAAGGTAAACAGGCAAGTTGTTGAAGCTTTCTTCATGGTCAGTGTCTGAGAAACTCATTTCGTAAGAATTGTAAGAGACAATTAGCAATTACTTAGTGTGCGTAAGGTTGTGTGGGTTAGGGGCTTTCCACATGCGGACACCTAAATAAGCAGGAGCTGTAAAGGCAAGGTCAATAATGTATCGTCTTTTTGAACAACATATTTGTCGTTTCAAAAAGTATCTCCGTGTAAGGTATCTGACAATCGGACTACTCTTTGACATTATTTTACTACGTTTCATAGACTTTGACTAATACTTTGTAGCCTGCATAATGTATTGTCTTTTCGAACAATATATGTGTCGTTTCAAACAATATCTCCGTGTAAGGTATCTAACAATCAGACTACTCTTTGACATTATTTGACTACGGTTTCATAGACTTCGACTAATACTTTGTAGCCTGCATAATGTATTGTCTTTTCGAACAATATATTTTTCGTTTCAAAAAGTGTCTCCGTGTAAGGTATCTGACAATCGGACTACTCTTTGACATTATTTGACTACGGTTTCATAGACTTTGACTAATACTTTGTAGCCTGCATAATGTATTGTCTTTTGAACAGTATATTTGTCGTTTCAAACAGTATCTCCGTGTAAGGTATCTGACAATCGGACTACTCTTTGACATTATTTGACTACGGTTTCATAGACTTTAACTAATACTTTATAGCCTGCATAATGTATTGTCTTTTCGAACAATATATTTGTCGTTTCAAACAGTATCTCCGTGTAAGGTATTTGACAATCGGACTACTCTTTGACATTATTTGACTACGGTTTCAGACTTTGACTAATACTTTGTAGCCTGCGTAATTTATTGTCTTTTCGAACAATATATTTGTCGTTTCAAACAGTATCTCCGTGTAAGGTATCTGACAATCGTACTAGTCTTTGACATTATTTGACTACGGTTTCATAGACTTTGACTAATACTTTGTAGCCTGCATAATGTATTGTCTTTTCGAACAATATATTTTTCGTTTCAAACAGTATCTCCGTGTAAGGTATTTGACAATCAGACTACTCTTTGACATTATTTGACTACGGTTTCATAGACTTTGACTACTACTTTGTAGCCTGCATAATGTCGTGACAACTTGATATTTTTCAAACCAATGTAACATTCAAAAAGTCAAACATAATGAACTATTTAGAATCAAAGAAATCAACATAAAAATGAAGTGTTCTAAAATCTAAATTGGGATGCATAAAGTGTTAGATATCGTGCCAAGGTTTCCAAAAATATAAAGAACACTCAAACCTGAGTTATAACAAAAAAGTTATGATCAATCGAAAATCCACGACACACCTAGTAAAACACTGATAAACGTAAAAAGTGAAACTTCAATAAAATACTTTTTAGCCCTAGACACCTAAACGAAAATCGTAGATTACGTTAAACCGTGAGCATGCATAAAAATAACACCCAAATCTGACTTCGTATGAAGAAGTTACAATTTTTCTAAGTTTCGGAACAACGGTAGACAAACCCAGTACAAATTTACAAATCATTTATGGTGACAAACCCAGTACAAACCGATATACTTTGTCACGAACGAGTTGTTCGCCTCAATCTACCAAGCGGCAAAACTCTTGTCATTTATGGTGACAAACCCAGTACAAATTTACAAATCATCTCCTGCGTCAAAGCCCAAAAATACCTTCTCAAAGAATATCATGCCTTTCTAGCCCACGTGGTAGACAAGAAATGAGAATCGAAAGACATTAAAGACATTTCGGAAGTCTGCAATTTCCCTGACATCTTCCAGGAGTCCCACCAGGAAGTAGAAACATTAGTATCTTTCATCTCAACATCCTCAGTTGGCCCTAATTGTTCTGTCTTAACTGAAGCTGGAGCAAGGGTTTGGCCATACTGAGCAGACATTTCTTCCTCATTGGTCTCAAGGGGTGGGTTCTAGTTTTCATTAAAAGGAGGTGGCACACTGTCATACCCTAAACCCTTGGTTTGATTATCTTTAAAACTCAATTGTTTTTCTACGAAGGACTCGAATGTCTTACTTGACACGGTATAATTTTTGAAACTAACATCTATTTTTCCCCACTTAATTTTCAAAGTGTTAACTTCTTCAGTTACAGCAGCAAGTTTGCTTTTAATGAGATCGTAATTTTTACACTTATTGTTGTAATCTTCCTGAAGCTTTCGGAAATCCTTGATTTTGGCTTCTAATTGAGCTTTTAATGGTTTTTGACATTTCATAAGTTGATATCTTTCGTATTTTAGGTCCTCATTTTCCCTTTTTAGCAAATCAATTTGTTCGCGAAGAAATTTAATCGTAGCTTCACAAGATAGAGTACATGAAACTTCATTTACCGGAATAGATGAGGAACTCATTTTTATAAAAAAAATATGCCCTTTGACTAAAAACTCAAAAGTCAACCTTAAAAGTCAAATTTAAAAAGTCAAACTTGAAAAGTCAAACCGAAAAGCTAAATGAAATTTGAAAGTTAAATGAGAAAGTCAAAGTTTAAAGTCAAAGGTCAATCTTGAAAGTCAAAGTTAAAATTTTAAGTAAAAAGTCAAAATTAAAAGTCAAAAATTAAAAACTAATTTTGTTTAGAAAATGGAATTTAAAAATAAAAGAAATTTGAATTTTGGGCTAGAAGTGTCAAATTTGCGAAATTAGGTGCGAATTGGAATGGTTTAAATTAAAATCAGAAGGATTAAATCAAAAGGTAGCTTGGCCCAAGTGGTAACATGTGGTCATCAATAGAGAGTAGACACGGGTTCGAACCCCGACACCCCTAATTTCGCTTCCCTTTTTTTAATAAGATGTTGCTGGGAAGCTTGTTTGCGAAGACGCTGAGATGCGAGGACGAGAACGAAGCGATGCGATGCGACACTGAGAGCGAGACGAGGTGCGAACCGGAAACGCTGTTGGACCGCAAACTCTGACCGTACACGTGCGAGCTGTAAACTTACCGGGTCGTAAACTCTTCGCAGATTACCCCCTTTTTGCTTCAAAACTCGATCAAAAACTCATTTTTTATCAAAAACACGAAGAACAAACACCCCCCTATTTTTCCAAAATCTATCCAAAAACGCAAGAATCCTTCCAAAAAAAGATCAAATAAGCTCCAGATCTGACAAAATTAACTGATACAATCCAAGCTCTGATACCATTTGTAAGTCCCCAAATTTGCTTTTGTATCAATCAGATTCGTTTGATGGTGCTGAATCCCAATCAAACAGATGATGCCAGATCAAAATAGAAGAGAACGAGAAGAACAATAACTGGAATCTATGATGTATTGAAAATATGAATGAAGATCCTTATAATATATTCACACACATTCTCTCCTTCTGTCTTGTTTCTCTCTCTAGAACACACCTTAGAATACACACACTTAAGCTCCTTGTCTGTACTCTCCACACTTATCTTCTCTCCTCACCCTTACACCTATATTTATATGGAACATGGGCCAAACACGAGTTCACGGCCGTGAACGGGTTTACGGCCGTAAACCCGTTTATGGCCGTACACACCAACCTGTCCATGAACACAACCCCAAACACATATTCCACTATAGACAAATACAGTTGCCTAGAAAAGCAAAGTATAAACCATAATTTTGATCCAACACCTCCTGTTTCTGGAACAAGCTCCACGAGGAACTGGGCACGTGGCTGCATTTTAGCACAGTATATCATCCGTAGACCAACGTTCAGAGCGAGCGGACCATTCAGACCCTCGAGGACATGTTGAGGGCGTGTGTCATTGACTTCGGAGGGAGCTGGGACTCCCACATACCCCTTGCATAGTTTGCCTACAACAACAACTATCATTCCAGCATTTGCCCTCCACCTTTTGAATTGTTGTATGGGCAGAGATGTCGCACCCCGATCTGTTGGGGTGAGGTTAGACATAAGGTGATGGGACAGACCGAGGTAGTCTTGCAAACTACCGAGAAGATTCAAAAGATTAGACAACGAATGCAAACCGCTTAGATTCGGCAAAAGAGTTACGTCGAAAGACGCCGATCTAAGTTAGAGTTCCAGGTCGGTGACGTGGTACTCCTGAAGGTCTCGCCCTGGAAGGGTGTGATTCGCTTCAGGAAGAGAGAAAAATTGGGTCCCTAATACATTGGGCTATTCAGGATCGTTGCCAAGGTTGGCAAGGTGGCATACATGTTAGAGCTACCAGAGGAGCTTAGTCGGATCCAAAACACTTTTCACGTTTCACAATTGCGAAAGTGCGTTGTGGATCAGGAGTCAGTAGTATCGTTGGATGATATTCAGGTCGATGAGCATCTGAATTAGGTGGAGAGGCTTGTGGCCATACTGGAGAGGAAGATAAAGGTTCTACGGAACAAGGAGATACATTTTGTAAAGGTACAGTGGGAGTATCGGAGGGGATCCGAGTGGACGTGGGAGCCCGATTCCGAGATGCGGGAGCATTACCCGGATCTATTTATTGCAGCAGACTTCAAGGATGAGGTCTAGATCAATTAGGGGAGAATTGTAACATCCCGAGATTTTGCATATATTCTGAACCCTCTTTACTATCATTATTGGTCATTTGTAGTCCTTGGGGTTGGAAGTGTAGAGCCAAGATAGGTTTAAGGGCTAAGGTTGCAACCTTGGATCAAGAGGGAGTACGTTGAGCATGCATAAGAGTAAGCTAAGCGTACTAAGGTCCGCCTTAGTACGCTGGGCGTACTTATTTCAGGATGAAACCCTAATATTTAGGGTTTAGCGGCTATATAAGCAACATTATGAGCACATAACCCTCCCTTACCTTAGCCTACACTACTTAGAGTCGTTTTCCCCAAACCCAAGCCATTTTCTTGAGTGTGTGAGCTTATAGAGTGTATTTTCAGTGTTTTGAGAAGAAGGTGTTGCATCAAGGAGTTGGAGAAGAATATCAAGCTTGTAGATATGAAGTTTGTTGGTGCCCTAGAAGCTCCAGAAGGTAAAAAAGCTTCAAACTTTATACATGTATTTTGTAGATTTTGCTATTTTGGCTTTAAGGAACCATTTCTTGTCCCAAAATTCCCAACATGGTGCATGATGTGATTTGGACAAAATAAAATGCCCTTCTAGACTCATAAAGAGGTTTTGAGTGATAAAAATGAGGTCCCAATCGCTTAAGATGTCTCATGCATGGACTAGGAAGGTCTTAATGGATTAATACCATGTATTAAAAACTTTCTGGAAGTCCAAAGTGATAAAGTTCGTGACTTTATGGGTCCTAGGCACATTTGGTCACTGGATCTGAAATTTGGGCTTAAGTGCTTAAGCCATTAAGCACTTATTAAGGTTTTAGCAAATCATTACGTACACCCAACATATATCCAGTATGCCCAGTGCACTGGGTTAACCACCCCGATGGTGGTCAACACTAGGACGAGTACGCCCATCATACGTCCTCTGTTAGGCTTTTGACAATCGGCTTCGGGATTTGGGTTGTTTATAGACTAGTTGGATTTGGGCCTTTTCTGGACTTTATGAATATGGTGTTTTGGGGAAGTTTTGAATATGGAGCTTGGAATGAGGCCCAATTAGGGAGTTGGGCCCAATTTGGAAAATTAGGCCAATAATGGTGTAGCACCTGGTTTCCGGTATGTGAATTTTGTTTGAGCATTGCCCTATTTTAGCCTTGGACTCGGCGAGCCA